TCTCGGCCATGTTGATTCTTTCTTTGTCAGTAGCCCCCGGCGTTCCTTGGTTCCTGGGTTCCTTGGCTTGTAGGCGGGTCCTCACACAATATCAGTCTTCACCGTGTGTGTCTCTGTGTCTATTCTGGTATTTCTATAACTCAGAAGTGATTAGGTTTAGGATCCACCCTACACTGGTATGACCTCACTAATATAATAAAAGAAAAACCCTACTTCCAAACAGGATCACATCTACAGGTATGAGGGCCAGGAATTCAACACACGTCTTGGGGGAACACAATTCAATCCTTAACAGCTTTTAAATGATGTTATGAAATTCTCAAAAAATCAATTCAAAAGTATTCTAATTTGTATGAAATACAGCAGGTGTTTTTTCTGGGGGAAGTAAAATTAAAAAAGACGACAGGTTGTTAAAATCTCTCCAAGCCTGGGACCCACAACTTTATTTATGAAACCAAGTTTAGACAGAACGACAGCTGATGCTGTCCCGCGTTTTTTCTCTGCAGCTGGCCTGCCTTATTATTACAGACGAGAACACCAAGGCCTCAATGGCCCAGACCACAGCTCCCCCGTTCACCTTTCTAAAACACAAGCTCCAGGGTGCTGCTGAGAGGCTGAACCAGGGGGTGGGGGCCGGGCCTGGGAATCTGCAACTTTGGAGAAAACCCCCTGGGTTGGCCTAGGGTGCAGGCAGGCGTGGGAAGCACTGGCCGGACCCCCAGGGATTACAGGGTCAGGACGTGGAGAGCCCGGCTGGGAGCCCAGGTTTTCTGACCCCAGGCTTCTCAACTGGGACAGTTTCCCTCCCACCCACCACCCACCACAGTGGGCATTTGGCAACATCTAGAGACATTTTTTAGGAATCCCTGGGTGGCACAAACAGTTAAGCGCTCAACTATGAGCCAAAGCTTTGGCGGTACAAACCTCCCAGAGGTGCCTTGGAAGACAGGCCTGGTGATCTGAAAGGTCACAGCCTTGAAAACTCTACGGAGCACAGACCTACTCTGAAACAAGTGGGGTCACTACGAGTCGGAGTCAAATCAACAGCAACTGGTGACGCTCTGTTACAGGTAGCTCCTGGTGGTCTCTGGCTGGAGGGCACTTCCACTGCAAACTCAGCAAATGCCCTTCTGTGCTCAGGGCTTTTTGGATTTTAGAATCGCAGGTAAGGGATTACGGACCTGACCTCCAGGCCCACGAGCTAGAAAGGACGCAACGCTGGAGAGTGGAAAGTTGGTCGGCTTTGTGGTTAACGCAGATCAGAGTGTGAATTCTCACCAGCTGTGTGATTTTGTGCAAATGACTTAACCTCTCTGAACCTCAGCTTCCCTACCTGTTAAATGGGGAAATGAAACCTTCCATTTGGGTTGTCGTGACAGGGGGGCCGGCAGGGGTAGAGATAATATATGTAAAGTGCCTAGCCCAGTGTTAACTCAAAGAATTCCTTTTCTAGAACTGCTCTGGTGTTCCGCTACCGCCAATGACAAGAAACAGGGGAGAGAAGAGCCGAGGGAAACGTTTTGAATTTAATGTAACTACATCTTGAGGGAAAACCCTGGTGGCTTAGTGGTTAACTGCTATGGCTACTAACCAAAAGGCTGGCACTTCAAATCCACCAGACGCTCTACCCTGTCCTATAGGGTCGCTATGAGTTGGAATCGACTCAATGGCAAGGGGTATGGGTTTTTTTTTTTGGTTGTATCTTGAGGAATGTAGTTTATCACATGCTCTGTGGGCCCTGGGAAGAAGTCCTTGCCTGGCCTTAGTACCCAGAACATCGTGATTCTCCCGAACAACTTGGGTGTTTAAATCTTCTGATGCTGTGAATTGAATAACTGCTGCTGAAGTCAGTGTTGTGACCGACCTGCAGCAAGGGGAAGGTCATTGAGGCCTGCCGTTTTTGCTTTGTTTCTGGCTTCATTTGTATGCTTCTGTCCTTGTTTCTCTCTCTTTTTTGACCATGCCTTTAATTTTTTTTAAGTTTATATATTTTTTTATAATAAATTTTTGTTGTTACTGTTCAGAATATACACAGCAGAACATATACCAATTCAACAATTTCTACGTGTACAAGTCAGTGACACTGGTTACATTCTTCAAGTTGTGCCTTCATTCTCACCCTCAGGACGTGGAGAGCCCAGCTGGGAGCCCAGGTTTTCTGACCCCGGGGTTCTCAACTGGGACAGTTTCCCTCCCACCCCATTTTCTGAGTTGTTTCCCCCCACCCCATTAACATGAACTCACCGTCCCTTAAGGTTCTTATCTAATCTTCGAGTTACTGTTGTCAGTTTGATCCCATATAGATAGACCTTAAACGAGCATAATGTTCAAGGCAGACATTCTTTACTAGTTAAGCTAAACTATTGTTTGGTTTTAAGAAAACTTCAAGGGATATTTTTGGTTTAAGGTTTAAAGATTATCTCAGGTTGGTTCACCCTTCAGCCAAATATTGGACAGGCCCATAAAACAAAATGAGACTAAAGGGGCACACCAGCCCAGGGGCAAGGACGAGAAGGCAGGAGAGAAAAGGAAAGCTGGTAATAGGGAACCCAAGGTCGAGAAGGGAGAGTGTTGACATGTTGTGGGGTTGTTAACCAATGAATAAAACAATACGTGCACTAACTGTTTAATGAGAAGCTAGTTTGTTCTGTGAACCTTCATCTAAAGTACAACTAAAAAAAAAAGAAAGATTATCTCAGGTCAATAGTTTCCGGGGTTCATCCAGCCTCCATGGCTCCAGAAAGTGTGGAGTCCATGAAAATTTGAAATTCTGTTCTCTATTTTCCCCCTTTTGATCAGAATTCTTCTATATAATCTTTGATCAAAACATTCAGTAATGAAAAAAAAAATCAATAAT